ACCGCACTCCTCCTCACCGAGCAAAATCCTTTCTCGGCCGTCCAGCCGACCACCTATACCGCACGCACCCCTTTCGACGACTCGGCAACTTTAGCTATGCACGTAAATATACGTGCTCCCGTATATATTGCACGTACACGCGTAATAACTTTGAAACCTTTTCAATTAATCTTTTGATTCCGTGCCCGTGGTGGCGTTCTTCGCTGGCCATTCAACGAGTCCAGCGTGGGCGTCGTGTACTTAGGTAGTTACATGCTTTTCAGAGTTCTAAAAGCTCATTAAGTAGAATTCACGTAATTTCTGTAAGCCAGAGAGAAAGAGATAAAAAAAAAAAAAGGGTGAAAGCAGACAGAATCCGAAGAATCTTCGTGGAAAGATGCTCTTTGTTCGGGACAAGCGTAGCGAACGGCAGACAGCGCGCTGTCTCTTGGAACAAGACGCAAATAACGTTTCCCCCCTTGCTAACTGGGTAAACATGTTTGTCCACGGCGTGGACGATTATTTTGAGTCGTTTACCCAGATAGAAATTTTATTTCTTTAAGCAACGGAAGATACACTATCCGACAATGTCATTGATAAGAATTCGATGGCTTTTTGTAATTGCGAAGCGATTGTCTGGCTTGTCGGCGATTTTTTGTCGCTTTCTCGTGTGGCTGCGTGTACGGGTCGATCGATGATTTTGATTTTTCAAATTCATCTTTACTGCCGAATAAGCACGTTTTTTGCTTTTTTCACATAAATTATTTTTATGACGGCTTACAAAAAATTCATGTCAACTGCGTTATGTTATTTTGACAAAATAATGGGAATTCACGTACAGGGTGGTCACGGAGTAATGGCATCTATTTACATGGCTAGGACGAATGGCATTGTATACCTGTGCCAGGTATCTTGTTGCTCATTGCCGAACTACTGGGCTTTGATAAACAATTATCCCCATTATGCTGTCACAGCAGCCCTGGAGTTGCGTTATCAAGAGCAATATTCCCAAAGGTAATTATTTAGTATAATCAGATGTATAACAGGTGATTCAATAAATCTTATTGTCCAATGTATCACCACGTGGACGACGTTCACTTGGTACGAAATCGCATTTTCGTAATAGAGGGATAACGTTTTGTAACGAATGGAAAGAAAAAAATATATATATTCAGACGCTTCCCCGTATGCATTATTTCCAATATAAATTGTACTGTCACTATTTTATATATATTATCCCTGATAAGAATCAGCGTATTTCGGACCAGTCGATGTCCACGATTTTTATCTCGATATTGCGCAGTGCCCGGGCCGGTCCGAAAAAAAATTTTTAACCGAACAATCTGGATGATATTTTTTTTTTTGTAAATTTTGCTAAAAGAGATAAAATAGTCTTTTGTCAGTATCAATTATGGGCGCTATCGAATTTTTGATTAAATCCTCTTCAATAGGCTCCCTTTTGGTCACCCTCGACTCCCCCTCGGTTGTCGCAGGTAAAATTAAGCCATTCGAACTCTTTACTAATTATAAACTCCAAAGGAACGAGTTCCAATTTTACTTATTCGAACGTTTCGAGCTGCGATTATTTCACACTTTTCTACGCTCTATATTGCTCGTCGAGTTTCCCGCACTTTGCCGGCAATGTAGAAATTGATTTTTCACGCCATTGTTCTTCGCCGGTACTTTCGACGGCGCAGAGATTTCGATAATTAAAATAGCCGTGGCTATATATATATATATATCCCGGTGGGTAAATTATTTATAACCCAATAAACATGACAGCTTCGTTAAATATCATTGCGAGTTCATTTAACGTTTATTGTGCGGTCATGAAAATATTGCTAAATAAATATTTTACTTAAAAAAAAAAAAAAAAAAAAAAAATGGCTTTTCCTCGTCGATATTTAAATGACGAATCCCCACGACACTCATTGGCTCTCCCCGTAATCTACTGTTAGCTCCGGGTTATAACCAGAGATTCGTATTAGTTCCTATACGACACTCAGCCCTTTTCCATTGCTACGATTTCCGTACAATGGCCGCACTTAGCTTAAAAGCCCAAAAGCTTCCGTCATTTTTACAGCGCGCCGCTTTACATGCCAATGGAAGAGATTACGCGTAAAAAACGTAGGGAGAATTTGGAGGGGTCCACGGGCAAGAGGGGGGGGGGGTGCCTATATAAGATTTAGACATATATGAATTATCTTGCAAATGACCTATGACCTGCGATCTTCGCGACTTAGTCAATTTTCGAAACCTCTTGGTAAAAACCGGAAGCGCGAACGGATCAGGAAATGGGAAATGCAATCATGTAGATCCCTTTCAACATT